TATTTCTTTCTTCTATGTGCTTATCCCAGGATGATCAGTAGGCTTTATGCAACAGCAGCTACTCAAGGATACAGGCTGTTGGGACAGACACCATCTTGAATGTTGTCATCACCTTGCCAAAGAAAAAGCTGAAGCTTTGGAGGCTCTCACATGAGGAATCAGCTACTCAGCCTAGAAGTGACATAATATTTTTCCTCACAACTCATTGGACTGAGCTGCTCACATCCTCTTGGTCCCTCTCCCTCTCTCCTCCTCCCCACAGCTATAAGGGAGGTACATTCCTAGCAACTGCCTAGAAGGTAGGAAGTAGAAACTATTTGCACAGCACTAATCACTCCTCAATCTACAACATACATTGCATGAGTCATAAACAGCCATATTCTTTCATGCAGCCTAGGGATCAAAGAATGATGACAAAACAGATGCCCAGAGAGAAGTGAGGTCAGGAGAGAATTCTACCTTGGTTCCCAACTGTTTTTTTTTTCTTTTTCTTTTTTTTTTCCCCAGATCCAATTCCTGTGTTTGTTACAGCACTATGTACAAGAGCCACATTAGGGAAGCAGTCCATGTATCCATTGACAGATGAATGGATAAAGAAGATGTGGTATAGGGGCGCCTGGGTGGTTCAGTTGGTTGGGCGTCCAACTTTGGCTCAGGTCATGATCTCACAGTTCGTGGGTTCAAGCCCCGCGTTGGGCTCTATGCTGATGGCTAGCTCAGAGCCTAGAGCCTGTTTCGGATTCTGTATCTTCCTCTCTCTCTGACCCTCCCCTGCTCACGCTGTCTCTCTCCCTCTCTCAGAAATAAAACATTAAAAAAAAAAAGATGTGGCATATATATACAATGGAATATTATTCAGCCACAAAAAAGAATGACATCTTACCATCTGCAATAACATGGCTGGATCTAGAGAGTATAATGCTAAGCAAAATAAGCCAGTCAGAGAAAGACAAATACCATATGATTTCATTTATAGGTGGAATTTAAAAAATGAATGAACAAATGAAAAAAAAAGAGAAGAGTCAAGCCAAAAAAACAGACTCTTAACCATAGAGAACAAACTGATTCTCTATCAGTTTGTTCTTACCAGAGGGGAGGTAGGTGGGAGATGGGTGAAATAGGTGAAGGGGATTAAGGGTACACTTATCACAATGAGCACTGAGCACTATATGGAACTATTGAATCACTATATTGTACACCTGAAACTAATATAACACTGTATGTTAACTATAATGGAATTAAAACGTTTTTAAATAAATAAAATACACACAGGGAATGAGAAGGAATGCAAGAATTATCTTCCACTAGATCTTCTGGCTGATTTCTTACCATCTAGGTAAGATGCTTGCCTGACTACTCAACCTAATTTAGCCCCTCTCTTTCACATTGCCATTTAATTTCCTTTTATTACTTTCTTATTTCTTACTTCTCACTTATTATCTACTGTCCTTCAAGAAAGCAAAGATCTTTCTTGGAGAAGATATTTACAAATGACATTTCAGATAAAGAGTTAGTATCCAAAAATCTATGAAGAACTTATCAAACTCAACACACCCCAAAAACCAAATAATCCAGAGAAGAAATGGGCAAAAGACGCGAATAGACACTTTTCCAAAGAAGACATTCAGACGGTGAACAAACACATGAAAAAAATGCTCAGCATCACTCATCAGGGAAATACAAATTAAAACACCTCACACCAGTCAAAATGTCTAAAATTAACAACTCAGGCAACAATAGATGTTGGTGAGGATGCAGAGAAAGAAGATCTCTTTTGCATGCTGGTGGGAACACAAACACATGCAGCCACTCTGGAAAACAGTATGGAGATTCCTCAAAAAGTTAAAATAGAACTACCCTATGATCCAACAATTGCACTACTAGATACTTACCCAAGGGATACAGATGCGCTGTTTTGAAGGGGCATATGCACCCCAATGTTTATAGCAGTATTACCAACAATAGCCGAAGTATGGAAAGAGCCCAAATGTCCATTGATAGATGACTGGATAAAGAAGATGTGGTACATATATACAATGGAGTATTACTCAGCAATCAAAAAGAATGAAATCTTGCCATTTGCAACAATGTGAGTGGAACTGGAGGGTACATGTTAAGCAAAATACGTCAGTCAGAGAAAGACAAGTATCATATGACTTCAATCATATGAGGAATGTAAGAAACAAAACCAGATGAACATAAGGGAAGGGAAGCAAAAAGAGTATAAAAATGGGAGCAAGACAAAACAGAAGAGACTCTTAAATACAGAGAACATACTGAGGGTTGCTGGAAGAGTTGTGGGTGGGGGGATGGGCTAAATGGGTGAGGGGTATTAAGGAGGACACTTGTTGGGATGGGCACTGGGTGTTATACATAAGGGATGAATCACTGGAATCTACTCCTGAAAACATTATTGCACTATATGCTAACTAACTTGGGTGTTTATTAAAAATAAATAAACAGAAAGAAAGCAAAGATCTTTCTTTCTTGTCCTTAGCACCTGAAACAATATCTAGCACATAACAGGCACTCAATATATATATATTTGCAAGAATAAATAAATGAATGCTGCAGTGCAAATCCATTTCACAAAAATATTTTGTGGATCATCTGTTGTAAATGCTAGAAATGATGACCACTATACATATTCTTAGGTACAAATTACTATAAATCAAGACTATTGCCCTCCCACCAAGCATTTTTTCTAGGACTACCATAAAAGGCAGCGCCATGAAAAGTATGACCTGAGAAATAGCAGTAGCAGCAACATTATCTCTGAGTTTGTTTGAAATGCAAATTCTAGGCCCCACTAAAGGCCTACTAAATCAGTATCCCTGTTTTAACACTCTGGATGAATCTTATGCACATGAAATTTCAGAGGCAGTGATGGAGGATAAAACTAGAAAAGATGATTTGATTTCAAAATAACTAGACCTTCAAATAAATGAATATATGCATAAGAACACTGCACAGTCTTTATTCAAGGACTGTATGAAGCATAATTTGCAGGGAAATCTCTTTTTTATTTTTTAATTTTTTAAATGTTTTATTTATTTCTTAGGAGAGAGAGAGAGAGACAGCGCGAGCAGGGGAGGGTCAGAGAGAGAGGGAGTCAGACTGAAACAGGCTCCAGGCTCTGAGCTGGCAGTCAGCACAGGGCCCGACACGGGGCTCGAACCCACGAACCGCGAGATCATGACCTAAGCGAAAGTCGGACGCTTAACCGACTAAGCCACCCAGGCGCCCCGGAAATCTCTTTCTTAAGTAGATCTGGAAACCAGTGTGGAAAAGAAGATACCTATATAAAAACCCCATGATGCAAGTTCACCTGGAATATGTGCCAAATGGATCCTATATGCCTCACAGCACATTCCACTCCCACTACTTGAGTGGAATGATTTAAACATAGATTTACAGAACGCTCATCATGTCTCATACCCTACTCTAGATCTAGGGAATACAAAGATAAAAGACGGAGGGGGGTACTTGTTAGTCAAGGGATGGGGGTGGCGGTGGTGGAGGGATTAGGGAACAGAGGGAGAAGAGCAAACCAGGCAGAGGGAATAGTGTGCACAAAAATATGAAAGCTTTAGTGAAGAGAGCATGAGCATTCCAGAACCAGCAAGGAGAGAAGACGTGGAAAACAATGAGGCTGCTTCAAGTAATCAGGTATAGAAGAGTAAGTGCTTCAACAATAGCAGAGGGAGTGGGAACTCTTCCAAGCACGATGTACCATATAGAGTTGTAGAATCCAGCTCTGCCAAGTGAGGTTGGGCAAGTTAATTTTCTGTGCCTTACTTTATCCTGCAGATAAAAATGGAGATAATCATAGAGTGGCCATCAGTCTAAAAAGAGAGGTTTTTTTTTTTTTAATGATTGAACTTTCTTGGTTAGGTTTTCTGGCATAGGCTTATTTAATGAAACCAGAGACATAAATCACTTGAGCAGAGCACCACAAATGCATTCACAAGGATTAAAAAGGCTGCATTAGTTAATCATGTTCATTGATGTGTGCATTAGTAATGAGAAAAAATACATTGATGTGTGCATTAGTAATGAGAAAAAATACTTGAATATATCAAGTAACGCAATTGTAATGTAATCACTCATTTAGTTTGTGTATTTGTGTTGCCAGATTCTATGGTCACATGTTAATACTAACCTCATTGGGCTGCTGTCAGGATTAAAAATGAGTTAATTAAAAAAAAAAAACTCTTAGGCAGTGAGAGGCTTTTTCTAAACTCATTGTGTTAACTATTGTATTAAAAAATAAAACTGAAAAATGGAGAGGTAAATGAACAAGAGGTACCAGTCCACTGTCAACAACTCATTGGAGGGTCGTCCTATCACTGAAATGCTCAATTCAATACAGAAGGATCAAGGCTTCTTTCCTAACTGTAGGTAAGATTAACTGGTTTGCCAGTCTACCTGTCTGCTCTTCCCCCGGCTATAAAGCAATGTCACATTCACTACTGCATTTTTGGACAGATGAACACTAATCAGCTACTACGCGCTGGGTGCTGAGAATGCAACAGTTCACAAGACTAGTGTGATTTATGTCTTCCTGGAGCTTGGATACGTTAAGTTCGAAATACCTCTGGAATCGACGGTTTCCACATTTTGCTAAAATGTGGAGTAGCAGAGCCTGGCCCTATTAATGCTAATAAAGAAGGTCAACTGAGAATCAACCGTTAAAGGAGGAAGGGGGGGAAATGAGCGTGGACAAAGGGGTAGGGGAAGCGGAAGTATACGAGATTGATTGAAACAGGAGGCGGATAGCGTTCAAATGAAAAGGAAGACAGAATTCCTGAATATCTACCCCGCTCCGACGCTCTCACTGGAACTGGAACACACGCCCCCAGCCACCCACAAGGACCTCCCAAACCTGAGCACACCACCCGTCTTCAAGGGACCGCCTCTGCGCAGTGGAGGGCTGCGCCGCGCCGCGCCGCGCGGCGCTGTGACGTAAAGGTAGGCGGGACTTCCGTTCCCAGTGCTGTCTAGGAAGGAGCGTTGCGATAGAGCCAGCTACTTTCTAGGCCGACAGGTGAGGCACGGCCTTGAGGGGACGACTTTGCGTAAGAACTAACGGGCAAGCGGGCACCTGGGAGCCAGAGCCCTTCCTCTGTGTGGCCCCTCGCAGAGCCTGTGCTGCCCTGGGCCAGACGGCCCACAGGGTGTAAATAACTGCTGCGACCTCTCGGGGTTCGGATCCACTCTGGTCCTATCACAGCAGTGGCTCCTCTGGGCGTGGTGACGCGCCATTTGTACTAAACTGCAGCCTGCCTGCGGGACGTTTATGGCGGCCCTTTTGGGGAGTAGGGGCTCGCACATTGGGCATTTGGCCGGGAAGAAGTGACTAGCTGGGCTGGAGACCCCAACGATCAGAGTTCTTGTACCTCTAGGAAGTTCTAAGAGTTCTAAGCCTCTTTTCCTCTGGAAAAGTCTCTGACTTCTCTCTGTGCCTCAGTTTCCCCCACTTGTCCATCGGCGGGGTCATTAAAGGCTGTTTTGGTTTGATCTCAGTTTTCTCCGTCGGATCAACCTCTTCCCCCATCCTCTTCCAAATTTGTTACACCAGGTACCCTTGAGTTTTGATGCGTGGGCCATTCTCTGAACTCGACACTCCCCTACCACATGTTTGATGTTCAGTATTAATTGCTCAAGTATTTTAACGTGGCACCAAGGTCGGAGCCGAGCTCCTTTCCTTGAACTTAGAGTGCAGCGTGTTGGGGAAACCTTTGGGGCTTTCACTTGCCTCTACCGCTTGCCTTGCATCATGGTATTTTAAGGAAGGAGTTTTTGCCTGAATTTTTCCCATGTATAAAATGAAATACATTGATATCCTTTTGTTAAGATTGTTTTATCAAATGAGATCACTCATGTGGCACCAAGAACAGTGTTTTACACACAGTAAGCACTCAATAAATATCCACTGTTATGAATGACACATCCATACAACACCCACCTCACAGCTAGTGCTCACACTTCTTTATAATCACCCTTTACCCTAAGGCCTTAACTGTAAACTCTCACCCTTGGGGCTTTTTTATTTTTTTTATTTTTTTATTTTTTCACACAAGGCAAGATGAGACATGTGTTCCTTGATTCATAAATTTATTTCTTCCCTCAGGAGTCGTAACAGCACTTGCTTTGTGTCTTGTATGCCACACTGGAAGAGTTCATAGTCTAGTATGTGAACCCATAGTTTTAGCCACTTTTGTTCTAAGAGCAAATCCCTGTGGAGAAAGAGGTAAATGTAACAAAAAGAAACCCAGAAAAGTTAGGGGAAATCTCTGAAATCTTTATTCATGGGATTTTTTTTTTTAAAGCTTCTTTCCAAAATGATAAATAGGAAAGTCTCTTTTGGATTTTTTCCCCCGTGTTTCCACCGAAAGGTGAAGGCCTGCAGGATTTTGTTATAATGTGCATCATGCCCATTCCTTCTCTGACTTTCTCCTACAATACTGTGCTATTTATTCAAATTCCATAGTACTGCATACAATTTCAGAGTGATTTGTGACTGGAAAATACTGGAACAGGAGTCAGAAGACCATAGAATTGATTTTGCCATTTAAAAGCCTCATAACCTTAGACAAATAACATAACATCAGCTGTCCTGGCTGTCGTGTAGCCATTGTTAAGATCAGATGAGAGGATGAGAATGTCCTGCACAAATGAACTACAAAGAAGGTGGTTTTGTTGCGACTGGTGAGATTACCATCAATTCAATATAGAAATTGATGACTTCCTCTAATATGTTATTTGGAAAAAGATGAATATAAATTTAATGGTAAGCAGACTAAAAAAGGTTCTGTTTATGCATCTGTATTATGTGTTGACTTGCAGCTGTATGTTTTGAAGCTTACACATGACTGTGTGGTAAGATTCCCAGTTTTTCTCTATAATTCCACTTATACCAATTACAATTAAATAAATGTTTCAAAAACCTTTTTATTCTGACATAATTATAGATTGAGAGAAAGTTGCAAGAAAAAAATGTGTGAAGAGGTCCCCATGTGCCATTCAACTAACCTTCCCTGATGGTAGTATCTTGTATAACTATAATATAATTTTTAAACCAGAAAATTGACATTAATATATTCACAGAATTTATTGAGATTTCCCCCCATTTCACAAGCACTCATTTGTGTGTGTATATAGCTTCTTGTAACCACCATTTTCTTTATAGCCACAACCATCTTTTCCTACCCCAGTCCCTCACACGTGGCAGCCACTAGTCTGTTCTCCAACTCTTTAATTTTGTCTGTTTCAAGAATGTAGTATAAACACAATCATACAGTGTATAACTTTTTGAGATTACTTTGCATTAATTCCTTTGAGATCCATTCCAAGTTGGTTTGAAGGTTTTGTGTGAACATGTTTTTATTTCTCTGGGATAAATGCCCAAGAATGCAATTGTGCTGGGTCACATGGTGTATATTTAGTTAATTTATATGATATGCTTTTTCTTCTTTACCACCTTGATATGGAAGATTACATTGATTTTTTGATGTTAAATGTACCTGAAATAGATCCCACTTATTCATGGCATATAATACTTTATATACATTGCTGGGTTCTTTTTGCTAATATTTTATTAAGATATAGATATGACAGGCATTGATATGTAGGGGTTTTTTTTGTGTGCTATCTTTGTCTCGTTTTATCAGCACACTAGTATTCTATAGTCTTTAGTGATAAACCTGATATTAGTAATTTGTATTTTCTCTCTTTTTATCTTAGTGGAGTTTTATTGATTTTATTGATCTTTTTCAAAAAACTGTTCTTTATTTAATTCATTTTTCTCTACTTCCAATTTTTAAAAATTTTTAATGCTTATTTTTGAGAGAGAGTGAAAGAGCATGAGCAGTGAGCAGGTGGGGGCCAGGGAGAGAGGGAGACACAATCTGAAGCAGGCTTCAGGCTCTGAGCTGTCAGCACAGAGCCCAGCGCGGGGCTCCAACTCATGGACTGCAAGATCATGACCTGAGCCAAAGTGGGACGCTGAACCGACTGAGCCACCCAGGCATCCCTACTGTCTTCACATTTTATATATAATTGTCATATTTCCTCTATATACATTGAGCACCACATCAAATGATGCTATGAACTTTTGGTTCAACCATCAAATATGATTTAAGAGGTTCATAAGGAGAAAGATAGTCCCTTATATTTGCCATTGCTTTTAATCATTCCATTGTTCCTCCTTGTCTGAAGTTAAACCTTATTCACTTATTTCTTTCTGTTTAGAGAACTTCCTAAGGATATGTCTGTTAGCGACAAATCCTTTAGTTTTTCTTCATTTGAGGATATCTTTATTTCACCTTCATTCCTTGAGAGGTTGTTTTTCCTGATACGAGATTTGGGGTTGATAGTTATTTTCCTTCAGCACTTGAAAAATGTTGTGCCACATTTTCCTGGCCTCCCTGATTTCTAATGAGAAATCTGACATTCTAATTATTGTTCCCTTATAGATACTATGTCATTTCTCTGTGGTTTCTTTAAAGAGTTTTTTCCTTATTTTGGTTTTCTGAAGTTTGACTATAAGGTGCTTTGTATTTCTGTAGGTAAGAAGCTGTATCCCAGTAAGTATAAAGATTTATTATATGAAAAAGATTGTATTTTAATTCAGCAGAGGAAAGATGATTTCTTTACTAAATGGTATTGTCTTGAAGAAAACAAAGCGGATACTTACAGGTGGATGCAGGTGGATTAAAGGTTTAAATGTAAAAACTAGAATAACAAAAATAAACATCCAAGAAGCTAGATGTAAAATATAGGAATCCAGAAAAGAGGAAAGGATCAGCAATATACAAAATCTCTTACAAGCCAATAATAAAAAGATAAACCATTGTGAACGTTGGCAAAGGATATGAACAGACAGTTCATAGAAAAGAAAGTCCAGAAGCCCAGCAAACATGAGAGGATGTTCAAATGCACTAGCAGCCAGAGAAAAGCAAACTAAAGAGTGAGATATTTTATACCCGAAGACTTAAAAGAATTAAAAATAATAGTACCACTTATTGATGATAGGATTATAGAGGGAAAGATAGCTTCCTAGATTGCTAGAGGAAATATGATTCCTACACCCTTTTGAAAAGCAATCTGGCAAAACCTATTAAAATTCAACTCTTGTAATTCCACACTTGGGAATCTGGCCATTAGAAACAAAAGAACTGGTGTATGTGGATATATGTAAGAACATGGGGATTTAAGAGTACTTATTCCAACATTGTCTGAAAATACTGGGAGTTAATTGAGTGCCTGTCAGCAGGGAAATGGTCACATGAATTATAGTGTATCCATGTTATAGAACCATTAAAAATAATGAATTAGATATACTATTTGACTTGGCAGGATTTTTGTGTGTTCTTATGAAAGTCAAATGCATTGAAGTGTGTATAATATGCTCCTATTTATCAAACACTGACAGTTCATATTTATCAGAATGCATATAAATGTTTATGTATATTTGCATGTGATTAGAGAAAGATATGGAAAACTTTATACTGAATTAGTAACTTGAGTTTAGAAGTGATACGCATGGACGTGAAAAGGAGAGGTAGAGATGAGGCATATAGAAGATTAAAAAGTAACTGACTATTTTTTAAGAATCCTAGGATATATTATATCACATTTATACATTCAAATAAAATTGTGTGTGTGTATGTAAAATTTTTCAAAGAACATGACTTCTGGAGTCATTCAGACATCTGGGTTCAAATTCTGACTCTACCACAGTCCAGATTACTAGTTGTGTGAACTTCTACAAATTCCTTAATATCTTTCAGTTAATTTTCTTCTCACATGTTTTGTTGGGGTAGAGAGAGGAAATAGTAGTACCCATCTTGTAAGATGGATGCGAGGGTTAAGTGATAATGATACGTGTAAAGTGTTTAGCACAGTGCCTGGTTTATAGAAAGTACTCTTAAAACGTGAGTTCTTATTATTGCCTCACTTCTTTTGCTCTTTGACATTTATATTTTTTAAAAAGTTCATTACCAGCTCCTAACTTTCTCAAAACATTCCCCTGTGGCTTATATGAATTTACGTATCTTCTCAGGTTCATGCCTCTTTCTAATTGTTCCTTTTTAGTCTTTAACTGGCTTCTTTTTTCTTGCTTAGGGAAATTCCCCTCCCCCCAAATTCCAGCACGAACTGTCAAAGAATCTTTTGAGTTAGGTGACTAGGTGAATAATGATACTCTGTATGATAACAGAGAAGTCAGGATATAGGATAGGATCTATAATTTTTGAAATAAGATGATTTTTAATTTTTGACACTTATGAAAATTTGGTGTTTCAGTGAGGCACCCAGATGAAAATGCTCAGTAGTTGGCACTCAAAGGGATAAGAGGGCCCAGGAAGGAACCTTTAGGTACAGGGAATGGAGGAGGAAAAGTTCTCAGAGAAGATGGGAAGGTATCATAGAAGCCAAGATAAGGGAGCTCTTTAAGAAGAAGCTGGGCAAATCATATCTCTACTGTGACCTTTCTGGAGCTTTAGTTCTGTGGCTCCCACTTTCTTCTGATCTTGTCCCTTATTTTCTTGAAATTTACTGTGTTCTTTTTTTTTTTAATGTTTTTATTTACTTCTGAGAGAGAGAGAGAGAGAAAGTGTGAGCAGGGGAGGGTCAGAGAGAGAGGGAGACACAGAATCTGAAGCAGGCTCCAGGCTATGAGCTAGCTGTCAGCACAGAGCCCAACACGGGGCTCGAACCCACAAACAGTGAGATCATGACCTGAGCCGAAGTGGGACTCTTAACCGACTGAGCCACCCAGGCGCCCCGAAACTTACTGTGTTCTTAATGAATCCGCTTCCTTTCCTCCAACTAACTTCCTTTCCCCAGTAGTTCCCTTTTATGTAGAATAGTGCTTCCATTCTCCTCATCTTTAGCATCAGAATTGAAGTCATTGTCACTTACCCTTCCCTAGTTTCTCATACAGAATCAGTAATAAGACTTTCGTCTCTCATTCATTTCCTTTATTCCCACCCTCATTTCTTGCTTAGGTTATTTTGATAGTGTCCAAACTTTTAGTGTATTCTTCTGGGGTTTTTTCCCCCATCTTTCACAATCTTTTAAAAGAAGTACATTAATCAAATCCTTCCCATTATTTTAAACACCATCAGACTTCCTGTGCCTTCAACACTTTCCCAAACTGTTCAGAAAAAGAAAGTGAAATGAAGAAAGGGAAAGGTTAATAGGATCACCATTGACAAATTGGTTAAATCAGCTTTTAGAAGGTTGTATGTATATTTTGTCCCTCTCTTCAAGGTTCAGAAATTCTTATTAGTGTAATTTAAAGGTTCTGCAGAACTAAAATATATGTGTCTTTGTTTAACCTATTTTGGTAGGTTGTGTTTTCCAAAGTTGGCCACAATAACCCCACACCACATATTCTTCTTGCAATATGACTTTGACATGCTTCACTTTGAGAGAGGTTCATTTTTCCTCCCTTTGAATATGGGTAGGCTATGACTAACATGCCACTGTTGCTATGTGACTTATGAGGCTAGGTCTTACAAAGTTACAGTTTTAATTTGATCCTCTTGAGACAATTGCTGTTGAAACTCAGCCATCATGTTCTGAACAAGCCCAAAGTAGTCCATGTGGAAAGACAGTGTAGGTGTTCCTGGCCAACCTGTCTGACAGCAGCATCTATCATCAGAGATGTAAATAGAGTTACTTTCAGATGACAACATCTCCTGCCTCCACTGAACATGTCACACACCCAGCTGTTGAGTCTTCTCAGCAAAGGTCCCCAACATTATGGATTAGGGATAGGCTCTT